TCAGCTGAGGAATTCCTGAGCTAAAGATGATAATCGCTAGTAATTTACTGCTGACGGCTTAAGCTTGGTCGGTGATTTGCAGTAATGTTTCACGAAAAGACACGGGAAGGAATGTATTCTAATCTGCCGTCTTCTGTTTTTGAACCCACTTCATGACCAGAGCAGCCCTCACCACATTACCTCTCGTGAAAAGTCTGACTAACTTGCTGCATCCTCAATGACTGGCAAACCATCTGAATTTGGTCTCGAGCAGCAACCTGGCCGCATCCTCGATATCCTTCATCTCCCTCACTAAGAGAGGAGAAGGACTCATGACCTCACCGAGAGTCTTACCTGGTGTATTGTTCAGAAGCACTTGAATCTTCTTGAAAGCCTTTCACTTGCTGTTAGCGGCGGGAAAGAATCCACCCTCTTCGCTTCGCTTCCCGGAGATGAAATCCAGGGCCAGCAAGTCGTAATCTGAAACAACTCCGACCAACCTTCCGTAGTCATCCGCGGCGAGCAGCCCTATAATTCGCTGTTCCACAAGACCTTCTAGAGCTTCATTGACACTCTTACTTCGCTTCGTCCAAGCGGGTCATGAAGTCCCTGACTGTGTACAAGTCTTGCGTTCTCTTGGACTGGGTACTGTCAGCGACGGTGGACCTGGAAACAAAGCTTACGGAAGACCGCGAAGAGAAATTTAGCAAGTTTCTATGAGCGAAGAACCTTGACTACCATAATCCAGGGTCAAGGACAAAAATATTTTGTGCTTAGTAAAAGCCCAAGCTTGAAGATCCCATCTCTCCATAATTTTGTGTTCACAATCGCCTACGTTGGCTCGGACCTGCAATATCCTCTCCAAATGACTGAGATGACTATTCTCACGTCGGGAATAGCTGACTATGTGTAGCTCTGCCTCTTATTATACACCTTGCTATTCCTCAGCTCCATGCGCGCACAGGCACCTGTGATAAGCGCCTGGTCACCTAAACCGCAGCCCACCACGTCGACCTCATTTGCGCCTCTAACTCAATCTTCTTTTCAGTAGATCCTTCCGGAGAAGCCCTGAAACCAGCTATTCCGTGCATCCATAACACCTGCAACGACGACCTTAGCGTCCTTCCTACTTCTCGACTACACCGCCGATCACAACCTTGCACACATGCAGCTGCCTGCCACCTTCCAAATCTAAAAAATCATCGCGCACAACAACGGCACACACCATACCAAAAATCAGTCAACTACCTTCACATCAGCTCTTCGCCGCGTCACGCCCCGCCCGGCTCGGCTCCGCAACGACACCGCGCTAAATCCACAACACGCGATCCGTTGGCCGCGATCTCGTGGAAAAAACTCCTTGCGTTGTGATCCACCGTTTACTGATCAATTATCTTGATGACAATCGATCCTATCAATCGCACATTGACGCAATTAACAAACTCTTAAGCATGCAGGCCCAGAAATTATCAGTCCCGATGAGCAGAGAGAACACATCTAGAGCAAGTGTCTCAAGATGACACTACTTGCAAAAAACTCTGACTGCGAGCAAGTCATTGCATGGAAACTTTGAAATTACCACAACATATTCTTAAACTTCACACATTGACTAACTCGCATCTAAATTCAAATTTGTTAACAACGTAGATTTTCTTCACTTTTGGTTCGATATAACACAACTCTGAGCCCAAAACCAACCAACCCCGAATAGATACTTTGTTGTGAAGTATCTATTGTGAAGTATCTATATGCACTGAATTGTTCGAGTGATATCATTTCAAACACGGAGATTCACATCAAATCGAGCCAAACATATTCCATACCTCAAAGACTACAAGTCGAACTAACGAGAAAAACATAGCGAACATACTACAAGTTACCCCAACGCGCAAGGCTCAACTCAACAAACTTACAGTTCTTCAAATACGCCGAAGAAATGATCTAACCTAGTTTCTACCTAGGGTTAATTCAACTAGAGTAAACCTTATCTAATGCTAATAATAAACTACACGTAGACACATCACAATGGTTTATCCAAATCTTTTAGAAATTTTTTTTTATCTAGTTATGATAGCAATATGCCATTTGAGACCTTCAAAATTCTTTGGGAGTGATTTCATCTAACAAAATTTTTCTTGTATGGAGTCATATTGATCATCTTCTTTTTTTATAAAATTCAATGCATACAAGTTGAAACATAATTTCAAAAGAAAATTTAGCTCCATTTTTTCTAATTTATTATAATAATTGGCAAAAATTCAAAATAAAATCACAATCAGGTTTTAGAAATGCAAGATTCTATCATTACAGCAAGCACAACTCATGTAAAAACTCGTTTCAATCAGAGCAAATGAATTTTCTATAAATGAATTCGAATGCGTATATTTCACTTTAACTTTATACTTGAGGTTAAAGATAAGAATTCATTCATTTGTAAGAATACAGATAAAAGAGATCAATATATTTTGAAATTTCAGTAGGTGAACCAATAGATTTCTAAAATCTCCAACAGAGAAAGTTACTGAAATCAATTTTAATACTAAAAGGTTTTGATATATTTTACTCATGAAACATTCATATTATCGTCATTATCATCTTCGTCACAAATCAAATCATTACTTAAATATTTAGCTCTGTATCTTTTTTCAGTTTTATCGCTTATAGGTATTGTTTCAATTTAACTATTCGACTATAATTGTTACAAAATCGTTATTTCTTTTTTATATTTAAGAAATGTTAAACTACGCATATATATAAAAATAGTATCCATAACCTTTGATTCAAACTATATTCCGATATTCATAAACAATTTTTGATTAAAATCCATCAATTGTGTGAATTTATATAAATTTTGAATCATTAAATCTAGCTTCAAGTATATAATATATAACTTGAAGTGAAATAAATGTATAAGACTAAAATTTTTTAACATGGCTTCAAAATTTAAAATTTAAAATTTCTCTTAAATAATTTATTATAAATAAATTTGCATATGAATTTCAACTTTGAATTTTAAAACGGAAAAATAAAGATGAATTTTTCTCTCATGTATATATTATATCTTAGGCTAATTTTAGTGTATTATGCAACAAAAATTATGCTCTAAAAATTATTTCTTACAATGATATTTCTACCAATGATATTACTCATAAAGAAATCTGAGTTTCTAAACACCTTATCATGAGAAACGTAGTATTTATCATGTGATCACAATATTGCTTTAAGAAGAGTCCAAATTACAACAAAAAGTGTTTCTGACAACAGTTTTATATAAAAGTAAATGCCTTGATTTAATTAATCAAAATGAAAATGACAAGATTACACCATAATCTAAATCACATCATAAGGAACTAAATTGGACTCGATTTTTTTTTAACTGAATTAGAAATATGATATATGATACTGATATAGTGAACATTAAAATTTTCATTAAAATTAATTAACTTTTATATCGAAAAAATATCTAAATATGACAAGCTGGTGTTTTCGAAAAAAGAACGGATCATAATTTTGATGGTTTTGAATTTACCTTCTACGTCATGTTTCATAAGAGTTTGTAGTATTTTTTCTTGACCATGAACAACATAACTTACAAATTTGCTTAACTTCATATTTTGAAAGTCTTAAAAATTCTTCATTAATCCATTATAGAATAAAGATATGATTTAGATTTGAAGTTAAAGTTGGGTATCTAAAACTGAAAGTTGAATGGAAATATAAATAGACATAGTTATATTCAAAATATGACTATATTAACAAATATTAAAATAAGTTATAAATATAACTTCATATGAAATAAAAATAGAACTATGCAGCAGATTTATTTTGTACTTTGCAATAAAATATTCAATATATTTTTGAGCTTGGTTTTGAAATTTGAGTGAGAATGATTTGCAATAGCTTGCCATTTTGTGAAAATTTATATGATTTGCAAAACATTTTGCTAAAAATTAACAAGAGAGCGTGAAATAAAAGATGAACTTGATGGGCTAGAGATATGATGGGGGTTCAGGAATTCATAAAAATTTGTTTTTGACAGTTATAAATATATGCTCAAATAATTTGATTAAATTATAAATTATAAAAAAATAAATCTGATTAGTTGAAAAATCAGGTGAATGACTTTGAAAATGTTTTCTTCATAACACACTATGTATTGAACTCATCCTATATGCTTAATTTATGGATATAAAAATTTAAAATTTTTTCAATCACTAAAATTTGAGCATAACAGAAAATTAAAAGTGTATGCAGGGAAAAAATATCTGATTCGAAAAATGGACCTAAATCAAAAAATTCAAGCTTGTCAAAGTTTTTACTCATAAATATTTTCACTCCAACAAAATGTTACAAAAATGTATATATTTAATTTCTATAAAAAATTCACCATAATCACTTTCCAGTCATTACTGAAAATTTTCTTGTGATCACATTCCTAGATTGTGACACATTGAATCCAATTTTTAATATCTTGTCATGCTTCGTAATGTTTTGTAGATTTCTCAAAACTTAATTATAAAAATACTTTAACATTTCTATGCTGATTGTATTTTTCTTCATGATGATTCTTTTTTGAAATAAAAATAAGAACATGTTCTGTCAACAAGAAAGAAACATATAACAAAATTAGTAAATTCTGTAACATAGGATTAAACTCAATCACTTTTACAAGAATGACCTTTTGTTTTGATTTCTATCGATTTATTTAATGAAGAGTAGTAGCGATATGAATGAATTACATTGATTTTTTACATGAGATACATAAATTGCAAAATACCAAAAAATTGATACTGAGATGTTTATGGATATTTTATCATGAAATTACTATTGATCGTAAAGTGAGAGGATGTACATGACATATGATACTGGCCGGAAACAGAAATACTACTAACCGATCTACCCCAGTAGATCGGTAACAACCGCAAGAGAATTTAAATTTAAACTTCCCATGTCTTCGCATGCTCGTTACTTCGGACTGCAGTCTATAGATCGGAGTTCCTTTCTTATTGTTTGTGGTTCCGCGAGAGTTGTGCTACATTTTGCAGAGGCTTGCTCGGAGAATGTTCAAGGACGACCCAATTCGGACTTCGCACATAATTCTGTGATCGACATGTGCGGACGATCAAGAGTTGTAACTGATGGATCAGTGTTCTTTCTGGACCTATTTGCAAGAGTATTCGAGTCCCGAATGTTTCCAATGACGGTCAGAGCAACCATAAATTTCATTTATAGCACGTGATCCGGTCTACTTAGGGTTTGTTGGTGGAAATCTTTCTTGGGCACAAAAAAGCTGTGCCAAAAGTATCACGGTATGCTAAAAGGAAAATTTCAGGACCCTGCCCACTCAACTGCTACAAATCAATCAGGCTCAGAAGCGCCATTCTGCAAGTCTTATATATTTGTATGATGGTGATGGCGTGAGGAAGGCTTGCGCTGTCCAACTGTTCGTTCCGTCACTTTCTGGAAAGTTTGGAGAGTTGTGACTGATTATAGAGAATGCGACCTCACACGAAAATTGCACCTACATGCATATGCAATACCTTTACTTGGTGCAGATAGATGCTCTCGAGATATGATACTGGCCAGACAGTGGCAATGTCCAATGTGGTCGTTATTTGACATTGAACAGGAGATGATTCCAAATACGTTTCTTCTACGTAGTTCGCTCACGGCACAAAAAAAACTTTAATACAGCTGGGGATCTCGATTTTCATTTGATCCATCCATTCAGTGGACAAGGGACAGCAAAACGTATGTTCCATGCAGTATTTGTTGTATGTGAAGCACGTGTATTCCAAATTACCAGAGTTGATAATGGAAGTAGTTGTGCTCGATAAGTAGCTCAGTGAGGTCTTCAGGAGTACGTACTATGGACAGATCATACTCTGCAGATTCCGAGTTTGAGTGTATGAAAAGCCTTCTGTAGAAGCACAGGCTACCAAAACGGAATAGATCTAAGGTTCAATCCTTAGCAACTCAATATGGAGGACGGGGAATACCACAGAGTGGCAACAACTTCTGACTTCGGGTTACCTTTTGTTCCATGAAACGAACTCCGTCTACTATTGATAGATGTAAGTTAATTATACTGACTTCGGACTATGATGACAAATCCTGAGCATGAATATGGGCTTGTACAATCTTCTGATCATAACAATCTCTTGTAAATGTAATCGGTCCAGCGCGATGATTGTGATTCTCATTTTACGATTGCTTAGTCTCGGGCGTTGATTGCTTACGTATCGAACGGTCACATGCACTCTGAGGTCTGAGATCACATAATCTTGTTTTCACAACGTCATTAGTATTGATTTCAATTTAGACGAAATGTAAGAGGGGGAAAATGTAAAAAAGGCTAAATTCAGTCGCCATTTGAGAGTTTGGGAACTGCAGATGACTTCACGGACGTGCCTCAGTTTATTAAACGAAGATTGGAGTTTTTTGAGTTCAAGACGTTTTCAAGGCGGCCGCCAGTCAGTGTGGACCATCCAAGGCATTAGATCTCAAGTGTGGATCGTACGTTTCAGATCGCGGGCAACATCAAGAAAGAACACGAGGTTTTTCTCTTGTACACTCGAGCGCAACTCGAGAACTCTTAGAAATTTTATCACAAGGATTCACTATAAATATTTCACAATGTTCAAGTTTACGACCAAGAGGAGGTCGAGTTTGGAAGCGAGGAAAGCCATGGCTACTTCAGAATTCGCGGGAAGTGCACCCAAGTCAGAGATCGACAACATCAACTCGAAGACTACAGCAAGGCTGAACGAGAGTCAGTGCAACTCCCTGATTGACTCTGGTAAGAGCTTTGCAGTCCGTTGTGAGGGTCGTTTTTGTCCTACTAACATTGAAGGAGATCTTATTGAGAATCTTTTATAAAGTGCTGGTTTCGTTTCATCCACTAGCATTTGCGTTTTCCATCTCAGTCGATCTCAGAGTTGAAAAAATCGTAGAAAACTGATGGTTTAATGGTTATTGTTGCGCTTTCGTACAAGCTTAATAGTCAAATGATATGATATGGCAGACGCGAGAATTGCATCCGGATCTGCCTTTAGTGGTGCTCCATCGGTTCCCGCAGAAGAATATAAAGTGCCGGCCGAACCGGAATCCAAGATACAAACGTCTGACAAGACACCCATATACTCTCAGCTCTTCGATCCTCCTTTGTTTGTGCATACGTCTTCTCCAATAGCAGCACTTCGCGTGATTCAATGGGACGATGAACGGCAGATGTTTTTCAAGACCGAGAGTAACAACGAGAGTCTAAACAAAGACTTGAGGTACACTTTTGGACCCCTGCATGAATTGAACATTCTGAATCCGAAATCGAAGGTAGAAGAAGCATCTGATGCCCATGAAGGCTCTGCTCACGGCGAAGATGGCGACGAGGAGGAAGACTCCGACGAAGCAAGAAATAAGCTCGAGGCACAAGAAGCTCTTCTTATGCTTGCAGGTTCCAAAGACCTTGCACGATGTGCCTTGCTCCACTTATGAGATTCGGATGATTCTACAAACTTGGGGACTTTTTCTTTGTTTTTATCATAGTTTAGAAAGTTGAAGAAAGACATTAGGGTCCTACCTTGTAGTTAAAGCCATTATTCTTCGACGAAATTGTATAATTCATGTGCAAGAAGCTTTCTTTAAAATTGTCTCACGGTGATTGGCTAAATCTAACATCTTGAAGGAATTGCTTATGGGCGACGCAGATAAAAGAACTGAGGTAAAATGAGAATGTAATTTTGATTGCCGTATCTACGACGCGAACTATATATAAATATTATTAGGAGTTGTTGAAATTGAAGTTTAAGCTAGGCAATGTGCTTAAGACAACTTCTTTAAATTACATCGATTAGTGAAAGATTAGTTTGAAGAGATGTGACTGCTTAGAATTTTTCTAAGAGATTGCGACCTCACGAGATTTGCACCTACATGCAGAGGCAATACCTTTTCTTGGTGCAGATACATGCTCTCGAGATATGATATTTGCCAGACAGTGGCATACAACGAGTTTCCATGGTAAAAGTCACATGTGGTCGTTATCTGACATTGAACAGGAGGTGGTTCTAAATACGTTTCTTCTACGTAGTTCGCTCACGGCACAAAAAAAAACCTTAATACAATTGGGAATCCCGGTATTCATATGATCATCCATTCAGTGGACAACGGACAGCAGAACGTGTGTTCCGTGGAGTATTTGTTGTATGTGAAGCACGTGTATTCCAAATTACCAGAGTGGATAATGGAAGTAGTTGTGCTCGATAAGAAGCTCAGTGAAGTCCTCAGGAGTAAATAATATGGACAGATCATACTCTGCAGATTCCGAGTTTAAATGTATGAAAAGCCATCTGTAGAAGCACAGGCTACCAAAACGGAACAGACTCAAGGTACAATCCTTAGCAACTCAATGTGGAGGACGGGGAATACCACAGAAGTGGCAGCAACTTCTGACTTCGGGTTACCTTTTGTTCCATGAAACGAACTCCGTCTTCTATTGATAGATGTCAGTTGATTATACTGACTTCGTACTATGATGACAAATCCTGAGCATACATTTTGGCTCGTGCAGTCTTTTGAACATAACAATCTCTTGTACGATGTCCCTTAATTGTAATTGGTCCAGCGTGATGATTGTGATTCTCATTCTACGATTTCATAGTCTCGGGCGTTGATTGCCTACGTATCGAACGGTCACATGCACTCTGAGGCCTGAGATCACATAATTTTGTATTCACAATGTCATTAGTATTGATTTCAATTTAGATGAAATGTAAGAGGGGAGAATGTAAAAAAGGCTAAATTCAGTCGCCATTTGAGAGTTTGGGAACTGCAGATGACTTCACGGACGTGCCCCAGTTTATTAAACGAAGATAAGAGTTTTTTGAGTTCAAGACGTTTTCAAGGCGGCCGCCAGTCAGTGTGGACCATCCAAGTCATTAGATCTCAAGTGTGGATCGTACTTCTTCAGATCGCGGGCAACATCAAGAAAGAACACGAGGTTTTTCTCTTGTACACTCGAGCGCAACTCGAGAACTCAGGGAATTTTCATCGCAAGGATTCACTAAAAATATTTCACAATGTTCAAGTTTACGACCAAGAGGAGGTCGAGTTTGGAAGCGAGGAAAGCCATGGCTACTTCAGAATTCGCGGGAAGTGCACCAAAGTCAGAGATCGACAACATCAACTCGAAGGCTAGAGCAAAGCTGAACGAGAATCAGTGCAACTCCCCGTTTGACTCTGGTAAGAGCTGTGAAGTCCGTTGTAAATGTCGATTTCGTTTAGCTAACATTGAAGGAGATCTTATTGAGAATTTTTTCTAAAGTGGTGGTTTCTGTTCATCCACTAGCATTTGCGTTTTCCATCTCATTCGATCTCAGAGTTGAAAACATCGTAGAAAACTGATGGTTTAATGGTTATTGTTGCGCTTTCGTGCAAGCTTAATAGTCAAATGATATGATATGGCAGACGCAAAAATTCCATCCGGATCTGCCTTTAGTGGTGCTCCATCGGTTCCCGCAGAAGAATATAAAGTGCCGGCCGAACCGGAATCCAAGATACAGACGTCTGACAAGACATCCATATACTCTCAGCTCTTTGATCCTCCTTTGTTTGTGCATAAGTCTTCTCCAATAGCAGCACTTCGTGTGACTCAATGGGACTATGAAAGCAGATGTTTGTTAAGACCGAGAGTAACAATGAGAGTCTGAACAAAGACTTGAGGTACACTTTTAGACCCCTGCATGAACTGAACGTTCGGAACCCGAAGAACCAACTGATGCCCATGAAGAATCTGCTCACGACGATGATGGTGACGAGGAGGGAGAAATAAACTCCGACGAAGCAAGAAATAAGCTCGAGGCACAGTTCTGAGAAATCGCCCAATTCATGACTAATCTCCCAATTTACGAACCTAAATGCCTCGTCCCCGTTCGCCCGCATCCCTCCTCCTCCCCCGCCGTCGTTCCCTCACCAAGCTCCTGGCAAAACTCATTGCGGGCCCACCAGCAGAGCGCAACCGGCCAAGTCACCAAGCCATCGCGAGCTGCTCGCTCGTCAGCGCCGGACCGCAGGCAGAAGCAGCAGCAGATGTCGAGTTCCCGAAGCCGAACGAACGCTCACGTACGCACCAATCGATCGTCGAAGGACGAGGACGACGAGAGGAGATGAAACCTCTGCTGCCATCGCCGCTCGCTGCCGTGTGCCCTGGCACGGGCCGGTCGGTCCGGTCGTCATGGCCCGAACGAGGCTCTCGAGAAGGAAACAAGTAACCTGCAAAGACTCTCTAGGTCTAGTGCCCCAGTTGCTGTCCCGGTCTCTGTCCCACAGCAGTACAAATTCATATAATCATTTGAACAGAAATCTTTTAGAGCTAAAAAAATCTATAAAACTAAGTTGATCAACTCAGTAAATTTGGAAATGTACTGTACTAAAATTACTTTTTTACATTACATTGTTTCTTCTTATATTTTGCATCAACCTTGAATAATTAGCTATTATTCGATTCATATCAAAGTCAAAATATTTTTTTTATCAATGAAACGAAAAATATTCTATGTTACAAACTTTTCATCACTCCAAAATCTCAAATTTCATCAAAACTACGTGACTATCAAGTGATCTAGAATATTTTGATTATTATTTTTTAACTATAAATGCATCGGCATATGAATGAATTTAAAGGTGATTATTTACGTTTCAATGCAGAATATTGTTTTATCATCGTCACAGAAATTTAAACCGTATGTAGAATCTAATGTGCTTCTCGATGAAAAAATTTATTCTACCGAATGAACTTCGATGAATAATATTTAGTTCAAATTGCACATAAAATTTACTTTATAAAATTACACGATAAGAATTCAATGCTCAATAATTTTGCATCATATGAGAGTATCAAGAATATTTGATTCTCTTGAAGCTTGGACAGAAACTATTTTTCTTCGGAGTTTGATACCATTTGGATATATACTTTAAGATTTGCAATGATTATGGTTAACAAATGTATGCAGATTCCTTTATTATTCCTAAAAATATTTAAAGTTAAAACAAAGGAAAAATTTCCATGAACAACAAGATGCGACAGAAGGATTAAGCTTCAAATGTTGAATGTTACGCGTTTGTTTTTAGGGTTCGTATCAGTAACAAATTAATCGAATTCTTTCATTTGTAGAGAAGATAAAATAAATTATTCTACAGTAAACTGTAGAATAATTTATTTTATTTTGCACCTAACATATTTCCGCGCAAAGTCAAATTTCATGCTAATACACATGTATCAAAAAATAGACGAAACGTTGTTCCATTAATACTATGTCTTAAGTCTTCTTATTGCATTTTGGCTTTTTTTAAAGCTTCTAGTAGACTCCCTACACTTCATTCTTATTGCCTTTAATTTTGAGAAACATATAATCTCTCAACAAGATACATAATCATGGTATCCGAGTAGACCATTAATACTCTATATATTCCACATCTTCTTACAAGGTGGCCACTACGTTGGACAAGCCTCTCAGGAAACAACGGTGAGACCTCCTAAAGCCAAAGAAGCACACGTAGTGCCTAGGGATGCCTCTACCGTAGGAATTCAGAGGGTCCCCACCTAATCGAAAGGACCTAGCAATAGGAAAGCAAACAAATTCAAGAAAGGCATTAATAGACGTGAAAAATCCCACCTACAGGTCCTTCCGTTAAAAAAGAAAATATTCTTGTAATCCAGCACCTGCCTAACTGATAGAGACCTAGCAATAGGAAAGCTCTTGATATCAAGTAGCAGAGAAGGAGCCGATGTACTTACTAAATGGTTACTGTTGGGCAAGTTATCAGGCCATCTTCTAAAGACCGTGCAAAATAGGCGCTTGAAAGAGCTTACTATATTAATCATCTTGCGTTTCACTAACCAATTAAGCATTCTACTAAGAAATAAGACCTTTCGTCTCTTACGCCTACAGAAGTACCTTCCCTCATGAAAGTCCGCCACATCCAAACAGTTGAAGCCGGCTCTTCCCTGGTCGTCTCGGCCACCAGCCAAAGGGTGACGAAATATATTCATCAGGGACTGCAATTTTCCAAATATTGTCCAAGATTAGCGACCACTTATCGTAAAGATTTTCAGCCTGAAGTGGTGTTTTTCTGAAATCATGTAAGGATGGGCAAGAAGCCCTAGTGGCAACTTAAAATGGTGTAAACTGGATGGCAGGTTATGCCTGGCGCTGCTGCATCTCCGCTATCCAGAAATCCGGCACGTTCATCGGATTCAACACTAGGCAGACAAAATGTAAACGAGGCATCAGTGACGTCTTTAATCTGGTCAAAGAAAAAAGATGCCTCCTCCAGCTCCGAAAGCATGTTGACTCTATATTACAAATAATCATTACAAAGCCGAAAGAGAAATTTCGAGACAATTGTATTTTGATTCGTCCAGGGACAGCCAACGCAGCGTACTCTATTTTGTATTTGCAATTTGTAGTTCGCCTTCTGCGGCCTCCTAACTGAGAACTCCTTCGCAGGAAGCTTGTTATAAAACAGAATTCCGGCCTTCCACTTGGTGAATGAGAGATGACGTGGTGGTGATGGGTCAGAAATCTGAATCTTATGAGAAAAGAACCTCTATAACATCTTGCAAAGCTGCAATCAGTAGGTTCATTAAGAAATATAAGTCAAACCTCGTGTGAATTTACTGCCCTATGTTCCTTCGACTGGAAATTAATGAATCTCTTTCACAATCTTTGCTTTAGTGGATCACAAGCCCAGCAAATTTTTTTTCAATATATAAGATAAATATCGATATAATTTTGGACCTGAAATCAATTATTCCTCGGTCTATGTGAACTATTCCAATAAAAAATCTGCATAATGCTGCGTATGAGGTTTGAAGAAACGAATGAGAATTAGAAATTCAGCTCAGAGAGGATGAACCTCTGACCAGCTGCAAGTTGAGTAGAACATTACCGTGCAAGGTTCACTTTGCAACCACGTGAATTAACGACCCTTGTCTCTGACCAAATAAACGTCTTGAGCCCCATCATTGTGATAGTCACATAATGCTGTAACGGTTTTCACCGTGACAGCCAGAACAGACCCACAGGGTTGGAAACAGAGG